TTTTAATTCACCTGGGTGCAGATGGGCTGAAGCGGCAAAGAGTGTCAGCCTGTTTTTCTTATCTATTTATTTTGAGACAAGGTCTTGCTCTGTCACCCAGGCTGGTGTGCAGTGGAGTGATCATAGCTCACTGCAGCCTCGAATTCCTGGGCTCAAGTGATTCTCTTGCCTCAACCTCCTGAGCAGCTGGGACTACATGATGGGCAGTGTGTGCCATCATGCCCAGCTATTGTGTGTGTGTGCGTGCTCGTGTGTGTGTGTGTGTGTGTGTGTGTGTGTAGACAGGGGTCTTGCTATGTTGCCTAGGATTGTCTGGAACTCTTGGCCTCAAGTGATCCTCCTGCCTCTGCTTCCCAAAGTGCTCTTATTACAGGCATGAACCACCGTGCCTGGTTGTAATTTTATTTTTTTAACCAAGCAAGCAACAGTGAAGAGGTAGGTACTTTAGATGGAACAAACAAGTTAGTAAAGGTTACGTTTTAAGTGTTTTTTCAAGCTACTGGGGAAGTAAAGGAAAGAATAAAAAGAATAAGCTGCTCATGCAGCAAGTAATTCATCTCATTATATAATAGTTTAGATCTGCAACTTTAGATATACGCTCAGAGTGTTTCCTACTCATTATTCTTGAATTTTCAGAAAAGTTAGTAGCTCTCATAAATGCCTTTCTTGTTTTCTGTCTTATTCCTTCTCAGACTTGATCTCTCAGCGGTGTTTTTTTTGGCTACTTCTTCCTTTGAGAAACATTGTATTTAGGTTGTGTGTCTTTGAAATTCCTTGGCTTTCCTCTTACCTTCCTGACCATTCTGTGGATTCCTCTTACTCACATGAATGTTGGTGCTCCTGGGCATTCTTTCTAAAGTCCTATTTAGTTTTTCACTCTGTGTAGTGCCTCACTGATATTATCCATTCCCAGGGGTTCAGTTTACCATTTATTGATTATTTCAGAATGTTTAACCCACTCATCTAACAGATGTTATTTATTTATTTATTTTTGAGATGGAGTTTCACACTCGTTGTCCAGACAGGAGTGCAGTGGTGCAATCTCGGCTCACTGCAACCTCTGCCTCCTGGGTTCAAGCGATTCTCCTGCCTCAGCCTCCCGAGTAGCTGGGACTACTCCCAGTGTGCCACCACATCCGGCTAATTTTTGTAATTTTAGTAGAGACCATGTTGGCTGGTATGGTCTTGATCTCTTGACCTCCTGATCTTCCCGCCTCGGCCTCCCAAAGTGCTGGGATTACAGATGTGAGCCACTGCATCTGGCTGGAATCTTATTGCTTTGTAAATCTATTTATACTACTCTGGTACGGCCACCAATATGTCTCACCCTGAATGCAAACTCCGTAGACCTGGAAGTTTGTCATTTACCACCATATTCTGATAGCCAGCACATAGAAAGTGCCAGGGGAGTTTTTCTGAATAGGTGAATGGACCGCTAAACTAGCCCATAACTGTTTTTTCTGCTTCCAGTGTTGCCAAAATGGAAATCTGATTAGATAATTCTAGAAGACCTTGGTGACTTTTTCTCGAATTCCTGAACTCAGGCAATCCTCTCCCTTCAGCTTCCCAACATGCTGAGGATACAGGTGTGAGGCACCAGGCCTGACCAATTTCTCTTTCAAAGCACTTGAAATGACTTAAGTTCCTAACATACAAGACCTTGTGTTATGGCCACCCTATCATGTCAGTCTCATCTGTTCCTTTCTGAGCCATGCTGAACACTTTGAATTTGGTTTGCAAAGCATTGTCTTTCCAGGCCTTCCTAAAAGCTGTCCCTTGGCTTGGCACTCACTTTCTCTTCTTTTCTGTTGCCTAATTTTATTTATCTTTCAGGTTTCAATTGTGGAAAGCCTTTTCACCTGAGTATGAATTGGTCACATTTTCTATCCTTCCACAGCATACAGTCCTCTTCCCCTCCTGTAGTACTTCCAATGTTGTATCGAAGTAACCTATTGCTTTTATTTTCCCACCAACTAGGATGCAGTAGACAATTAACAGAAATGTGTTGGTTGGATGGATGACTATGCCAAAGGTCAAATTGCTAAGCCTAACCATTTCAAGTTCTCTTTGTGCATTCAAATTATTGTTCTTACTTCGGGTGCCAAGTTATGCTAAAACTTCCAAAAAGTTTTTCAATAAGTCCTTTCACTTTTTTTTTTTTTTTTTTTTTTTTTTTTTTTTTTTTTTTTTTTTTTTTTTTTTTTTTTTTTGGAGATGGAGTTT